TTTGCCGAATAAACGATCATGTTTCATTGACCACCAAATTGCGAATGAGGAACAACTGAATTTGTCTCTGCAAATACTGATACAGCTCCTCACAGACCTCGAGAATGCCATAACTTTTGCAAGAACAAACACACTACATAGCAGTATAATCAGACCAGGTGAATTGGAATATATTTTATAACTCGAAAACCATATGAAAGAACAGTTGTTATACACCGACGGAAGTGAGCTACTCAAATACTATGACGTCATCTCCGCAGACGCCTACTATTCGAATACAATGATTGTCTTATTCATTCTGCTATTTCCTCTTGTACATCCTGAAATATTCACCATTTTCACATCCATTCAATTTCTACAAGACATTTGACCACTATGATACCAGCTGCACCCTATCTGACAATGAATACTGCACTTTACCAATACATGGACCAGCCCTGCAGAAGATTAAATCCGGACTACTTGTGCCCAAGCACACCCATCCAGTTCGATACAATTACGCAAGATTGTATCTCCCAAATCTTACAACGGTCAGACGAAAAAGCCTCCTGCCAACAAGTACCAGTATCAGTGAATATCACATTGATTGAACAACTGGCGTCAGTCCACTACATTGGTATATTCCCACAGCCGACAAAAGTATCAACCCAATTTTCCATCACTGGAATTTTGGTACTCCAGGGTACCTACTTGATCGAAATACCACCCGGATGCGGATTGTATTTCGAAAAACAGGCAAATGTGATATTGTCTGCCTTAACTTACGAAATCGGTTGAAAAGCGACCGAAAAATCTGAAAAAATATGGAATTGAAAGGTAGTTGAGTGATGAACCTATTTGAGGAATAAAAAGACTTAGTCCACTTGCCTGTTTCAATTGAAATAGTTGAGATATGACAGTTATGAACGATATCTCATCGAGTTTGATTTATTGTTCAAAAAGTATGGATACATAGTTAGTTCTTTCCAAACTAACATTACTAGAATTCATTACAGAAGTCATCTAAAAAATAAGGCGTTTGAATTTGAGTTGAATTCTTTGTTCAAATGACCGATTTTCCCCTATTTACGATGAATTGTTTCACGGAGTGTGCTTTTTGATTATTAAATCAATATTCCAAGATGTTAAACCAGTGAATTATGAAAGATGAATGTGATTGAAATAGGTAACGGGAATTCAGGAGTCCACAAATAGTGAGGTCCAATCTGGAAAATAAGAGTCAAATACCTATCCGTGGGTTCACATAATAGCCAATCAGCCCAAGGCACCCTAGCGGCAAGCGAGATATAAAAAGTACAAATATTGAAGGTAAATACATAATAAACTACAACTTGAACTGTCGGCTGCGGTTTACCATGGCTTCTAACATTGGGGTAGGAGAACTCGTGACGGCAAAGAAGCAATTGAAATGATAATAAATCAAAATTTGGCTCAAAATTATATTTATAGTAGGATAATGCAAGAGTGCAAAATATGAAACTTTGTCATGGGTGCCTGGACAGGAATCGTTGTTATTCGAATTCTGCAAATTTCGATGCGAATTTCAACGAAACATGTTAGGATATAGGATTTTCTGTCTGCGTATTATGAACTATGTGATTTTTTTTTATTCTTGTCGATTCGCAATGAATGGCCGCGTTTACGATCTGTTTGTGACCACAAAGTAAAATACCGATTGTTAAGGTTGAGAAACGCGACAATTCTCGCCTATACCTGAGGTCCGGGGGGGTTAGGAAGAGATAGCAGTGGGCGTTTACAAAACAGTCATAAATCAACAAGCATCCTTTTTAGAAAAGGACAACTCACCCGGTTCGTCAATTAGTCGGGGTGATTACCGCGTCCGAATATTTATTTATATTGCCAATAATCTGCCTAGCAGATTCCTAGCGAAATGTATTCTACCTATATTCATCGGGTAATCCGGTCATAGAATCTAACTTGATAACACCTTGATTGTGTTATATCCTTGGTTATATCCATTACGTTTACATATGTTTTAATATTTACGACACTCTTCATTGGTCGAGAGGTGTGGAAAAATTAGGATTTTAAAAGCCTCAAGCCATAGCGCTGCTTTTGAAAATCCGATCTTGAAAAACCAAGAAGCAAACGAAATGACTCATCAGATACTATGAGTAGGCTTCAATCATTATTTTCTTGAATTTCAACTGTATCGTCAGTTAAAGTTAACTTTTCTGTTATATTATACAGGGTGATTTACGTAGGCGCAAATATCATCGACCAAATCGTGCGTATTTGTGAGAATGTAGAGCAACGGCTCTTGACGTCGTGTATAGACATCGATCGTTATTTTTTTGTGTGCTTTGTTGACAGATAGATCTAGGTTGGATACTATTTGGAAATTGGTTATTTCATGTACACGTATTTTTATTTATTTGCCAAATTGACTAATTTTGAGCACTTTTCGAGAACGTTTTGTCCACTCTTCCTTTAAAAATTTCGAAAAATGAGATAGTATTCAACCTAGCTTGGTCCTTTGGCTAGAGCATGAATCGAAAAACTTCTGAAAATATTGAATGGTTTCGAAATGGGAAGTCTAGAGCGAGAGCGCTGAATTTGTTATTTCATGCGGCTCATTGCTCACTCTTTAGTGATGCTGATCTATTAGACAGAGTTGATGTCATTGCTTGAAATTTTATATTTTATGAGAGATGAGAATTTGTGAAATAATAACAAAATGAAGTCATTGTGATATCAAACATAGTAAAACGAAAGCAATTTTGTGTTATAGCCGTCAAAAAAAATCAGTATCTTGGTTCTTTGAAAAGCATTAGATACTATGTTGCTTTGAGCACAGCTGAAGTGGAATATAAAACAGCAGCAGCAGTAGCGCAAGAACTTGTGAATTGAGAGGTATCTTGTGTGAGGTCAAGAACATGGTACGGTGCTCTTTATAGAAACGGGTTGAACTCGATGATATGCGGCAACATTTCATCAAATGCCTGATTGTTAAAAATGTTATGATGTGGATTAAGTTAGCACAAATTGAAATATTGTTGATTATTTCACCAATTCCTCATTGGAAGAGAAAATTTTGAAATTCAGTTTCAGCTGAGAATATTACAAAATAGGCGATTTCCTCGATTCATAGTACATAGCTTTGATTTCAAAACTTACCACTTAGCCTTATGATGTGCGATGATAACAATTATGGAAAAAAATAGGTTGATTCAGATATTGGGGAGGAAATAAAATACTAGTATCTATTGAATGCTATGATCATCCCTTCAAACCCCCGCCACCTCTACTTTATAAAATTCCAAATGGCAACTTGAGATACATCAAATTGAGGCGGAAACAAAAACCAATCCGACCAGATGAATAATAATTTATTTCAATGATTCATGTTGGTGATCAACAAAAGTTGAAGCGAGTGATCTTTGACAGAGGTATTTGAAGCAATTATTCGAAAATATGCTTCAATATTTGATGCTCAATAGTACAGCCTATTCTAGAATTCTTGAAACATTTTTTGAAACGTTTTCGCATTCATTTGTCTACTTTTCGAGAAATATATCAGTTTGAGTACATCCATATTCTCTGGCTGAGTTTTATTAACCATTGTTTCCACATGTGACTCCACAAAAATTGATCTGAGGATACCTTCAATGAAAATTGACAAAATGTTTGGCTGTAATAACTGACCTAATATAACTTAATTTAATGATTATGTCCCGATATTTATGGATCGAATACTAAGATAGTTTTCCATCTGGTTGGTTATTATTGCTAGACTTTGAATTTTATATATCTCGAAGTAGGGGGTGCCATTTGGAATTCCAAAATAGGGGTGTCTGGGTGAAGAGAATGAACATAACATTCGACCGATACTGATATTTTTCTTCCCCCTTGATATCCTACGTCCGGCTACGTCTTTTTGTCGACACATGTGATTTTGTTTTTTCTCCCTTACGATAATCACAAACACAAAAACATTTCCACACCAAATACAAAGTTCAACGTTTCTGCATAAAGCGGATCAAACTACTGACATGACGAAAATATTCAACATTGATTCATTTTACCTGGAATCGTAAACATTCAAAGGATGTTGAACATTTTTATAATGTCATCAATCATTAATGACCTACCACTATTATATTACACTCGCACTAAATACAAAATTGTAAAACCTACAAATTTCAGAAGCTCAAGCTCTCTATTCCATTGACCATAAACGTATACCTGCATCCTGCATCACCCTGCATCTCAGGATGTTACGCCGTGTAAAAAACAACCCGTTCGGGGAACCACCTATACGTATTCTATTATTGTAGACGATTTTTTGCGTTTAGCGAAATTATGGGCACTTGAGGCAATGAACTCGCGTGAAATTACGCATCAGATTATTCAATAGATTTCACTTAATTGACGAACGAACTATAAAATGATACTTCTCAAAATGTATGAAGAATACATTATTTTTGTCTCAAAGTAATCAATACCTACTAGTTTATTTTTGAAATTTCATGAATTTATATAGGTTATTTTTAAATTTCATTATTTCTATATTTCATCAAATCACCCGAACTAAGGCTATATCGACTGCCATGTTCTTCTGATATAACTTTCACCAGAGGGCGCAAATATCATCGTGAACTTATGCCTATTTTTGAGGTTGCAGAGGATTGGCTCCTGACGCTTTGTGAAGAAACCAAGCCACATTATGATTTGATTTTTTTTCTGTAGCATATTGAAGGTTCATTCTAGGGCGGATACTATCTGAAAATCTTGAACAAGCAGTATAAATATTTTTTTTTCGTCAGCTAATAATGCTATATTCAAATACATTTTTGAAACTTTTTTTTTTCGAATTTTGAAAAATGAGATAGTATCCGCCCTAATTTGAACCTTTGTCTATATGATGGCGTTTAAAAATGTACTATATGCCAAACTGTTTTCCCATAAAGCGTCAGGAGCGAGAGCGCTGTATTCATCATTTTTCCAGTCCTATTGCCCACTCTTAAAGTATCAATTACCTTTTCTCCAGTATGCTTCCGATTGTGAACAGTAAGATGTGAAGATTGAGTAAATGTTTTAGAGCATAAGACACAAGAGTATGGTCTCTCTCCTGTATGTGTCTTCATGTGTGAATTCAGTATGTAAGTACTTGCGAATTTTTTTCCACACATATTGCAATCAAAAGGCTTTTCTCCAGTATGAGTACGCATATGGACCTGAAAAAAATTATATTGTTTTAACAAGCACTCACTGAATTTGCACGGAAAGTAACTCTTCGCTCCAGTGCCAAATTTTGCTCAGTCTAACCATGAGTATCAAGTATACCATGGAAATGCATTGTGAAATTGTTATTTGACAGATGAGTGATATTTTCTAAAAAATATTTCCGCCCAGATTGATACCGATTTGGGTTTGGTGAATAGTTGATTTAACGATTCGTGTGATGCTTTAATATACAGTGTTTCAAATTTTTATCGAGAGAAATGTCATATGCGATAGTACTCGTAAAAATGGGAATAAAAGTTCACATAAACTTGAATGTTTTGGAGCTTAGTTTTCGAGATACAGGGTGTTGACGTTAGAAATATCATTTGCCTTTTTTCATTCATTACCCTGTACAAGTTTTCATAATGCCAAAGTTGAGTGTGATCAGTGACTGACCAGTTCTCAAAATCTCCAAATTATCCCAAATATGGCTATCGAGTGACCTACATAAGAATCTGGATTCATATCAGGATAATCAGGTCTTAATTTTTTTCTTGAAGCATAAGCAAGATACGAGAAAACTGGCGCCAATGGAATGATTACGGTGATTTCAGTCATGCCACACGAAACATCTTCCTGTTACAAACAAGCCTGCTACGTTTAACGAATTTCGGAGAGAAGATGTAGAGAATTATCGTTCTATATTTACTTATTTTAATTTATTTTTCGTTCACCTTGTATGAATACTGTGATTACTGTGAATGTCATATATAGATCTGACAAGGACTGAGAATATAAAAAAGTCACGAACAAAGTTCAAATTGATTTACTGGAAGAGCTATTATTTTCAAGTTCTCACTTGCTACGAGTGTGGAGCTTCCAATTGGTCTTTCAAAAATTGAATTTTGCGCCGAAAAAGAATGTCCGAAGGAAAAATCTTCGCAAGAGTTCAAAGAATAATATTGGTATACTTCCTGCAAGATATGGCTTTGAGGAAGAAGATATAGAAGAAACAGGTTCTGTTAATTTGGAAGCAAAAAAAAGCCACAAGACGGAGAAAAATGTTGCAACGAATGAAGAAACGTCAAGTAGACACTCCGTAAAATCTATAATCAGTACTAATCGATCATATAAAAATATAGAAATTGAAGCAAAGAAAAAGAAGATTGAGGTAAGAATTCTATAACTACAAATAATTGAAGATCTCGAGATAGAAGAACAATCATTGAACGAGACAATCACAGTAGCTGCAGAAGAAAATAGTGAAGAAGGTGCATTTTGTGTGCCTGAAAGAAACATGCATATTCTGAACTAGATACGGGATGTAAATCTAACCAAGAACAATCAGGATAACTTTGGTGTTCAAGATGGTGTTAAATACAGTATATTCACGAATACTGTGAGAGGAATGAAATCAAATGATCATGGAGATGAATATTTCGATATCTTGCCAAATAGCAAGAAGGGAGAACATGCTAGTGGATTTTTTTCAGACCTTTCTTAACAAACAAAGAATGCAGACCGAGGTGCTGACAAATCTGTATGTTATGAATAAAATAAAAACTTCAATCGAAAGATTATGACATTTGTGGAAATATTGATGATAAAAAGTTGTGAGAACAAAGTATTGGTAGACTGTACATTCGAATATGACCTTGGAAGAATTGATAAAAAACAAAAGTCTCAGCATTAACAAGATTTCTATAGTGACAGGTAATTTTTCAGTTTGGTTCAATGAATATGAACGTACGACTTCAGCAAAATTTCATTTCAGATGCTGAAAACTTATCTCGCCTTCAAAGGGGCTTGAAAGGAAAGGCTATGGACGTGGACTTGTTTTGTAGTCCAGAAGATGAATGGAATATTGCAGAAGAGAAGACTGGATTATTATGAACCAAATTGATAAAGCAAAAAGATGTCCACACCTAGAAGATTCCATAGGAAAATTCATGCAGTTCTCAATAATCGTCTCTTATATGGTTGCCTCTATAAAAAGCATAAAATGTCAAAAGTAATTGGACAACCCGGATCTTCTGAATAAGTTAGAAGAAAAATTACCGAGACATAACAGAAGAACCTGGGCTGAAGTGGAAATTATGGGACAAGAGAATATTTCTGCGAATGGCTGAGATCGAAAGTTGATATCTTGATGACGGTCAGTGTTCCTACGCAGAATACAAATCAAAGGACATTTTTGGGCTTCTCTAAAAAAAACAGCATTCCAATATTGTTGAAGCTAGACCCATTACCTGTATATTATGTCCAGAGAATTATCATAAAATATGTTGATGCAAAAAGTTCCTGAGTATGAGTGTCTCTGGAAGACGAAAAATTGCTGAAAAATGTGCTAGAAATGTCTGAAAACTCCGCAAAAAATCTTATTGATTGTAAAATATTCCGCAGTGTTGTCGCGGGAGACATAGCTGATTTCTTCATCAAAAGATAGGAGAAGAAGTAGAAGTAGAAAATAAGATATCCTGTTTCATTGGAAAGACAGCATCATTTCTACTAATAATAGCTTAAGTACGAGTATTTGTTTGCTCTACTGAATAAAGGTTCAACGATCACGCCGATTGATGCCGATATCTCAGAAAAAAAGAAATTGGAAGGTCCAGAGGGTCCGATCTATTTGAAATGGACAAACGACATATCAAATGTTAAAAGTGGTTCAAAATTGATAGACTTCGATACATCTGAAGCTGGTGAGGATAAAAAGATGTATCGAATCAGAAACGCAAGATCCATGAAAAAATCAGAACTTGCTACCAAGGACCTTGATGTTGAATATCTATGTAAAATAATGACAAAATAGCAAAACCAATTTTTTTTTCTCGGTGAAGATAATGCTTTCCTTCTATATTCACAAAAAGTAATCCACCCCGGCTATGATGAACCTGCTTTCAGTCTGACACGACTTGGATGTATAGTACATGGGCCATACTTAATAAATGAAAGGAATTTTGATGTGAATGTGTGCAACCATGATGATGGATAGCTGAAGGAGATGATTGGAGATAATTTCGAGATTGAAAATGGCTACAAGATGCTCAAACTGGCATATTCCGAGAATGATCAGAAGGCAATAGACATATTTGAAAAAACAATCAGAAGGACAGAAGTTCGGTTCGAAATAGGTCTGCCCTGAAGAGAAAATTCAGTTTTACCTGAGAGTAAGATATCAGCAATCAACAGATTGAGATGGATGGAGAAAAAGATGGGCAGTGATGGAGAATTTGTTAAAGAATACTGCAAAAAGATTGATGATTAAACGACGAAAAATGACGTGGAGATAATATCGTTGGAGAACCCTGATGACAACAGACGAGTTTGGTATCTTCCATACTTTGGGGTGAGAAACCCTAATAAACCTGGAAAATGCAGGCTTGTCTTCGATGCAGCGGCGAAAATATCTGGAGTGAGCCATAACGACTACCTTCTTACAGGGCCAGATTTGTATCCATCACTAGTGGCCATATCTTGCAAGTTCCTGGAATACAAGTGAGCGTTTTGTGGAGATATCCGGGAAATGTTCCACCAGGTGTTGATTCGAAAGGACAGGGTTTTCTAGATATATATTATTTGCATCTGGACATATTTTATGAGGTGATTTAATAAATGGACTTTATTTTTCTTGGCGGAGTTCAGCTCATAGCTATTCTTATGAAAGAAGAGATTGAAGAGGTTTCTTTCTCAGTTGTATGTACTTGAGAAATCGAAGGACCTTGCTTTATAGAGATCATGAGAGATATTTGTTGTCTTCCTGATCAGTTTTTCGGAAATTTTATGAAGACACATTTGAGGGCAATTTTTCGGATGACCACAGTAGCCAGTAGGGTCTCGCCTAACATAAATCACTATTGAGCAATTCAGAGGGCAATAGGCCTCCTGATGCAGTATCAGCAGAATTAAATTCGGATCTCACGTGGAACCGATTTGATGGGCAAAATTTTACATGAATTTGTGTAACCCTATTCGATACAAAAGTAGCTATTGATGTATAGAAGATACATGATAGGAAGGTGGTTGAGTTTGTCCAAGCAACTACTCTAGATATTATGATTGTATCGGGAAATGTGTCAAGTATGAAGGCATTCAACTTTGACAACAAAATAGCGCCACATAACTCCAATTTTGGTATTGAAATTTTTTGCAGGGGATAAACTTTTGATTTCGCGCAAACCAGGGTCACCTGTATATCATCACTTGAACCGATTGCTTTCAAAAAAATCACACTTGCATACTTCATATACTTTATTGTCCAAGAATGAATTCTCATTGACAAAGTTGAATAAAAAAAATAAAATATAAATACAAATCTTGGTAGAACATATGGAGATAGCACTTAAATAAATATCATACACACAGACATTAATATATGAACATGAATATGTAAAAATATGAAGAATTACAAGAATAAAAAGGATAATCCACGCTCCCAGGCATCAGAAAAGACATGTAATTAGCAAATGATAGGATTTTCTAGAAACATGAGTCTCGGAATGTTCAAGTGTGTAAGGGAATTGAATTCAAGCTCAAACTGCTTCCATGAAGAAACAATATAATAAGGTGATGGAGAATCCCACTCGATATCTTATGTCCAAAGCTCCTAAATCAAGACATAGTGTCGGGAGAACCTAATGGGTCATATATATTCATGCTAATTGCGACAACACGACTCGTTCTGCACAGGGTTAATGTAGTGAAATGACTTTATATAAGAAAATGTTAAGAGTTAGATTCCATTGTAATCCCATTATCTTGATTGTGGATACGTGGTCAAAGTCTAGAAAAGATGGAGGCAAATGAGAGATGAGACCCTTATCAGTTGCTGTCCACTTTCTCAATTCAATGCTTTACCTAGTTGAGCAGTTATTGCAGTTTGTACGTAGAGAGCTTCTGACAATGTCTTACAACTTGAGACAACATAATCGACGAATGTTTCTGTTTCCAAAATTTTTTATGCCAATGGATACTGAGACCTTATAGTCGATTGCAGACTGACGAAGAACAC